TGTTGACGTAAAAATCAGTAGGGTAACCCTTATTCAATCACAACAACAATAGAAAAGTGAAAAAAGCGCATTTTGAGGTGCCCTAATATAATAAAAAAGCAAAAAGAAAAGATTTCGAGTTGATTAAAGGCTCTATCATTGGGTAGGTATCATTTTAGTGCTCAGAATGTTGAAAACCTCCTTGGCCAACCAAATCTGTGGCCTCAACAATCTGGCAATGCATTTTTCGTCACATAGTCCAAAAGACACCGCGTGTGATTGGAGCGCAATATCTATCAACGCATAGATTTACACTACTTTTGGCTCAAAAAAAGGAGAGGCAATAGTTTGATTCGCTCTCTTTACTATATGATAGATTTTTGACCGTTCTAATCGTCCAAACCAGAAACAGTCAAAACTTAAGTGAACTCTCCGATATTTATGCTCCGAACCAACCCAGTTGGTTTGCTGTTGTTACGGATAGTAGGACACATAAGTTTTGGGAATTTTTTACATAACATAGTTTGGATCAATATTGTGTACACGTAGCCCAAATTCGGAGCCATGTGATTGTTTGTGTGCTGTAAACAAGCCGTTTGTTTGTTTGAGTCTTGCGTTTGAAATTCGCGGGCTTGCGAAAGAACACGTTCAACTCGTATATCCTAACATGTTCGTCGTTTTTTATCGGCGCTTCCCCCAGCACCTTTTTAAAAACGATATCCTCCTTGCTTCTAACTTCAAAAACGAAGTCCATCTTGACCCCAAATCATATGTTCCGGGCCCTGACTATAGCCTGTCCAGTTTCGTACCTCGTTTTGTAGCTCCTTCCTGATACTTGCTATCAAGACCACATCATCTGCGTAGAGAAGTGTCCAAGGAGGTTCACGTCTGAGATCCATATCGATGATCACATTGATGAAGAGCAGGGAGAGAGAACTGAACCTTGGTGTACACCAACCTTAATTTGTAACTCTTTCGACTGCTCTGCAGCTGTTCGCACGTGGTTTAAAGCGTTGTAGTAGATCAACTTTATCCGCTGAGCGTACTCTTCTAGTGTCCTGTGCTTGCGTAAGGCCCACCATATGACTTCATGGGGCACCTTATCGAAGGCTTTCTCAAGGTTCAGAAAAGCTGCACGCAATTCCTTTTGCTTCTCTTTATATTTCTCCATCACTAACGTATCGGAGTGGATGACGTCGGTTTACCTACTCATTCCAGGCCGCCGATTCGAAGACAACTCTATGATAACTCGAAGTCGTGTTTTATTCGATCGAAAATTTTTAGAGTGTGGCTCATTGTCGGATTGGTCGGTAGGATGCGCAACCTACTATGTCTTCTTTGTTCTTTCATATCGGTATCGTTGTGCTGGTGTACCAGTCGCGAGGCATACTCTTGTTCCTTATTATAGTTGTAACGAACAAAAATTTTCGCCGAATGAACGAATAACGAATAATCAATTTTTAAAATTTTTTCGAACGAATGAATATCGAATAATTGATTTTCGAAAATTTTTCGAACGAATGAATATCGAATATTTGATTTTTGAAATTTTTCGAATGAACGAATATTATTCGACTTTCGATTTTCATTTTATTCGAATTTGAATATTCGAATATTGGCGCAATCCAAAATTCGAATGAACGAATACTTGAATAACCGAACTTGATCGAATATTCGACTAATTTCGAATAAATGTTCGAATATTACTCGAATATTTGAATGCAATATTCGAATATTCGAATATTCGAACAACTATCTTTTAAAAGTACTCGAATGAATGAATATTCGAATAACCTTTATTTAAAACTCGTTGAATGAAGGAATATTCGAATAAGTCATTTTTCGAAATCGTCGAACGAACGAATTATTCGAATATAGGCCTTTCTCATTTATTCGACTATTCGAATAATCGAATAAATGGACTTTCTCAAATATTCGACTATTGGAATATTCGAATAATCGAATATTTCGAATAAATTATTCGAACACGAATATTCGGTGCTAACTATATTCCTTATGATTTGATTGAGGAGACTTGTTAGCCATTTGACTTCAGATTGTCCACATATTTTCCAGAACTCGCTTGGTATGTCGTCTAAACCAGTTGTTTTGCTATTTCTTGTTCTTCTCACAGCAGTGGCAATCGCAGGATATCGGCCCGAGGGGGGGGGGGGGAGGAAGCGCGAGCGTTAGCCACGCATTCCGAAAAATTTTTTGGGGTGCTTCTCAGGTATTATCAGGTATGTTTTGCTAAGGTTCCTAAATCGGACTTCCATAGCTACTAGGAAATCTCTGAGAAAAGTGTGAGTGTTTGGAAGTGTGAAGTCATTGTGTCACATTTGGATTAGGCTTTGACGACCAGTTCAAGAAAATCATAATCGGCATGATGTTGAGTGTACTGACTACAATGAAGAAAACCTTTGGTGGAGACATAAATAATTATCTTCAAACCGCCAACTCTTAGTTGTATGGTATCAATAGTTTGCGAAGTTTGGACATTCAAAGTCCATAACTTCTTTTGGGGAGATGCTCAGCAAATCTAGAAGGTAAATGTGGAATCAGCCCATCAAAATGCATTCAATGATACTATTTCATTCCAAATCCTAAGTGCGACTTGAAGTCCTTCCCTGTTTGAAACGAGCACGTAGAAGCAATTTTAAGCAACGGAACACAAATAAACTGACCTTACATCGTAGGCAATCCTGCGCACTGTGTAGCGGCAAATGAATGTAATAATCGCAGTCAGCGCACCAGACAAGCAACTTGAGCAGATTTGCGGTTACCCTGACGGAGCGAATTTCAGGTGCCGCAAAAATGCCACTTTGCCTTCCAAAAACTCCTGCTTTGCGAATTCAAAAATCCTTCTAAAATCTTGCAGATAAGTCCCTTTTTTGACAAGAAAAATTGACGAAAATGCACCCTCGCACCACCAAGAATCTGGCAGATAAGTCCTCCCATCAGATTAAGTCCGTCTACAGATCAGTCCGGACTTATCTGACAGTATTGACTTATCTTACAATATTTCAGGGTAGTTATAATGGAAAGAAAACGGACTTATCTGTACGGCGGACTTATCTGAAGGGCCTTAACTGGGGCAAAAAAGTGGATCTATCTAAAATCGAACTTATTTGCAGTTGTTTATCTGACGGTAGGACTCATCTGTGAGAATTTGGGGCAGTTAATACCAACTTTTTCCAAAAGCACAAACAGGCGTACCACTTCGCCAAATCCACGAACTCTGCGAGGTGCGAACCCAGTTTGACAAGTCGCATCTTGTGATATAAGAAGGGCTCGTCTGGGTGGCTCAAGGCAGTGGCTCGGGAAATTGCGACTGCGAGCTTTCCACACCTATATGGCCTCCTGAATGAATTGAGTCTATTGCTGTACTTGAAATATCATAAATGTGCTTCTTTTGTCGTTTTCTATCCTAGAGATAGCTAGGATGGGAGAGGGATTTCTGCCAATATCGCAAATGGCTGCCTGAGCCGATCAACTACCGCCAAAAGATGCAGCCGTCCCTGTTTATGGCGGGAATCCCTCGCCCATCCCTTCCACCTATCCTCACGGTTCCAGAAGGCCATGTAGGTGTGGAAAGCTCGCAGTTGCAATTTTCCCGGGTCACTGCCTTCAAGTCGTTAGTTTTCAGTAAGTCTGCTCACGGCAAGTTGCTCATGTGCTAACTTCAACACGCATACGCTAGCACTGCCTAAAAACCTAGCGCAGAGCTAGTACTCCGATAGTCACGTTTGAAATCGGAAAAGGCACGTCGTTGAAGTGCAGGTCCCGTAAAATGCAATTGCCAACGCTTCACTTTGAACACCAACGCGCGGCGCTTCTGGAAACGTTTGGTCCCGAAGCGCTACAGGCTTTTTGCGAGCGACAATGAGCGCGCACCCTTTCCACACACATTTTTTCAAACTTTTGAAGGGAGCTTTCGTCGAGATATACCTGCATTGACGAGAACAACATGAAAACTGAAGAAAATTTCTTGGAATATAGTGAACGCCGACAGTCGTTCGCGACGACCGCTCGCTAACGCTGGTGTTCAAGGCACGGCGCGGGCAATTAGGTTTTACGGCGCCTATATTTGTATGGATTGTATTCAGGACCTTGCATTCAGAACTTCCACTGTGGGGTGAGGATGGCATGTGTCACGATCAAAACGCAAGCGCAGGCCGCGGAAAAGGTGTCTCAACCGAGCAGGCTTATCGTTTTGGAGTGGAAAGCAAATGAGATATCGTTTTTTGCGGGGTCCAAGGTGGAGCCTCAAAAAATGTATGTGAAAACTTAATTTGTCGTATATGAAAAATCGCCGATCCTCGTTTAAAATCGGTATCGGGATTAGAAAAAATATGCAAAAACTTATTGAGCAAGGCAACTCAAACTATTCTAATAACAAATTCTAGTAAAAGAATTCGACGATTTGGTCAATTTGGCCACTAACTCAGCAAATCTTGCACACCTCCCCCTCGAAAACAAAACTCATCCCAGAGCTGTTATCACATGAGTCGTACACATACATACTCCCAGTTTTCATCATATACTCCCAACTTTCATCCCTTTCCCTCCCCCCCCCTTTTATACCACCTTTTCATCTTCTGGAGAAACGTCGCAAGTGCTCAGCGCTCCTACCGAATCATTTCCCTGCTAAAGCAGCATCCTACCCCAATGTGCTCCCCGTGTAAGCGCGGGATTCAAAATGCCCCCGAGTTAAACAAAAGGCTTGTTTACAGCGAAGAGACAAAGATATGACACCAAAATTGGTGTGTAGATGCGCGATAGGAAGTTGGAACTATGTATGAAAAATCGTGTTTGATCCATTCATTATCACATCATAGGCGTATTTTTGTTGGCTTCTACAGGGACTTCGTTTTTGAAAAATTGGGAAACCTACCTCAAGCCGAGCCCTGCGCAAGCAGATCAACTCACAGCTTTTTGGCAACTCAATTTTATGATTTTTGTACGACAAATTATACAAAGGTTTTCCATAAATTTTATCAGCGAAACATGTGCAGCAGATTCTACGCTGGTTCTGGACTATTTCCATCTTCAAAGGCTCCCTTGAATTCCTCCTGCTGTCGCCTTTCTTCCGCAATTTTTCTCTGCAAGTACTCTCTGGCTATTCGTAGAGATGTCAGATTTTCAAAAAAGTTATCTGAATTATCATTGTTAAAGACCTAGTTTCCTTCACTAAATTATACAACAAACCTGGTTCGGTATTTTCTTGTTCGATTTGCTGTACGTGGTCAACGATATTTAGTTGCCCTCTTACGTTCACCGTTTCTTGATGTTGACATTGGCCACACACTAAATTATCAATCAAAAAGTTTATTGTGAGCTTCAAACCATTAGAGTGAACGGTAAAAAATGAGGCACTTGCGAATTAATTGGAGATTCCTCAAGAAAGAAAAGTGATTAGACTTTCCAATTTTGATAAATGTTAGATTATGTTATTCTCTTTCAGACAATACCTATACGAGGTCATTTACATAATTAATAATTTTTATACCTGCTGAAATGCAAAGTTAGTTACTTCGATAAATTATGAACTTTGAGCAGTATCTGCGCAATGAAACAAGTGAGATCAATCAAAGTACCACTGCTGGAGTGAGTGGTGGGACAGTCACCAAACTTACAACGGCTTGATGGCCTCAACTTTCAAAGTCAGGAGCAGGGTCAAGCGTGTGATGCGACTGTCGCAACGGGGGGTCGTGAAGGGGGCACCGGCGGTGGGGGGGGGGAGAGAGGGGGTCATAAGAGAGGGTGGTCCGAATTAAAAAAGTGTGGAATGTAGGAAATAAGCTTCTCAGCGCAAACATTCTTTACTCTTCAAAAAACAGCATTTATCTCACTGCAAAAAAGGTGTTGCAGACGAGGATCGAACTTGCTGGCCTCAAGTATGACCGGAGATTCCAAAGACACTTTTAAAAGCTCAAACACTAGGCATGTATGTGTGACAAGAATGTTAAATGATTAATTGGCCTAGAAATACTGGTTCCGAAGCATCACTGAAGTCTCACACTTTCGACAAAAGCGCTCATCTCTACTAGCGATGACCTTCGATAATTTTTAAAACCTTTTTCTTATGTCTTCTAAGGGCCCATACAATTTAGCTGTACTTTGGAGATGCTCTGCTAGAGTTCTGCAAATGGTTGTATTTCATAACCTGTAGATTTTTTTTTTAAATTTTATATCTGGCAACAAAAAATGAAAAGGGGGGGAGGGGTTGTATCTGGGTCGCATCTAAACTTTTTCGCTGCTATGGAGGCCTGCTCGCTGCAGTTTTGCTATATTACGACGCCATCCTCCTACTTTCTTTCCTAAAAATTTTAGGCTGTTTCATAACTTCTCCGGTGAGTTACAAACTTTCAAGCTTAAAATTCCACTTTTTGTTTCTTAGTATCGTATCTAATAAATAAATAATAAAGGGTTACTATTATATTAAGCCTGTTTCGCCTCTACCCCCCAATTTTCGAGAGTCGCATCCAGATTTTCTCGAGCTCACTGCTCCTCAATGGCTGAAACTTTTTCCATGGATAGTCTGAGCACAATACTACACAGTCTATTCATCATAGCCTCTTAGTCTTTTCCTGACTCTAGTTACGAATTTTCAAAGTACCGTGCTCATGCACGTTTTTGACATCGTTCTGGAAGGCGCTAAAACGGTTTTTTTTTCGCAGGAAAATCTGTACAATAGATAGAAAGTAAGCTTTTCAGTCGAAAACACTTTTTACGTTTCAAAGGCATCGTTTTTTCTTCCTGCAAAAAAAGTATTGTCGCGTACGGGGATAGAACACGTGACTGTCATAAGTCTAAAACGTTCTAATTCCCAGAACCATAGTCTATATCTTTCGGTACCACTAGACCATGAAAGGGTTATGTCGAACATTCATAAACAGCAGAAAAGTTTATTAACCTTCATTAGGAAAGGAGTTATTATAAAATAGTCAATTATAATGACTAAGTGAGCGGTTTCGTAATGCTGAATTTTTTTTGGTTATTATTTTATTTCACTTTTTATAGGTACATCTTAGAGTTTGATTTGAATAGTATTCAAGAGTACATCTTAAATACTATTCAAATCAAATTCGATATTCTGCTTTGTCAGATGATGTACTTTCCATTCATATTTTCCCAAACACAATAAGCATAGCCAATAAAGTTTGACTACTCACTCAATCTACGTAGAATTATTTGTTGTTTGAATGGTGAAGTATTATTTACATTATCTCCCAATTTGTAAGCAGTCATCTTTCTCTAAATATAATTTTGATTGAGGTCCCTTGGCAGGAATCTTTTGGGATTGACATTCGTTCATGCAGGTTACCACAAAAGGAAGTGGAAGAGGACGGGGCGGGGGGCGGGGAGGGGGGGGGGGGGTGGGTGGGGGAGGGGGGTCGTAGGGATGGGTACCTTTAGGGGGAGACGGTCAAGAGGCGCGATTTTTCTGGATTTCATCAACTTAAAACTCCAGTTTCATGCTACAGTTGTGGCCGTGGAATTTGTCCAAAATTGCGGGATTTTCGGGATTCGCGGGATTTTCGGGATTCGCGATGTTTGCGGGATTCGCGACTTCACGGGATTTGCGGGATTCGCGGGATTTGCGGGACTTGCGGGATTTAGCTATAACTTCTTTTAAATCCAATTTATTTGCAATCTGCGTGTAGATTTGGCTTCAGCTTGATGAGACGAATCGTTTGATATACAGTGTGTCCGTAATTTGTGGTGAGGGGGTAGACTTACAATGATACCTTGTTGTTCTCTATGTTAAGGCTTTTGTGAACATTTATCACAGCGTAAGTCACGAATAGCAGGTTCTGGCACGAAGTTTTCATCGCCGAAAACTATCGCGAAAAATTGGGCAGTTTTTATTTGCCCTTATCACTGATATAAGCATTTTATCATTTACCACTGATAATATCACATTTTTCGATCATTTTTTGCATATGGTAAGGAAAGTACTGTAGGAAAAGCTGTGTGAATTTCTATCGCTCTTTCTCTCATTATAATTGATCTACAGGCCTTTCTAGTTCTATTGCTCGGTGCAATTGGTAGATCCCTCGCTGCAGCAATCGATCGATTTTTCATCAGCACATGCCATTGCTGCCAATTCTTAGCTAGAATGGCATTTTTGCTTCAACTCGCTTCACGCCGAAACCTGGGCTGAAATTCTGCACCTAAATGGAAGATGAACGTGGGAATCCAACGCATGAATTTAAGCCATTCTTATCTGTCGTTGTCATTGATATCATCATTTTATCATTTATCACTGACGACACAAATTTGGATCATTTTTGATAAAGGAATGTACTTTAGAAAACGCTGTGTGAGTTTTTATCGCTCTATCTCTTATAGTACAAAACCACTCACAGAACATGCAAAATTTCCAGGAATTCCGCGAAATTCATGTGAATCACGCAAATTACGCAGGGCCATAACTTCTTTCCGAACGAGTATATTCAAAATCCGAAAACAACGTTGTATTCAGCTCGTCAAGGCGAATCTTTTGATGTACAGGTTGTCTCCAATATCTTGTTTTCAATAATCTTGAATTTGCATGCCGACGCCTCTTCGCATGGGTGTAACGCAACAAGCATCACACATAGGAGACTGCCATGGGCACCATTCAATAGTACTCTTTCACTAGATTATCGTGCGCTAAACAGCAGCCGAAGACTCTTTTTCAAAAGAGATAGAAGAGCTGATAAACTCTGGAAAAATTAAGCTGTTCCAAGTTCTACTAGCCGTAACTTTGTTTAGAATGAACATTTTCGAAATCAGAAGGCAGATTCGTGTTCATCTTGTCAAGTCGAATCTTACTGTATACAGCATGTCCTTGAAATTCCGCTTTCAATTTTTTCAAAATTTTCTGCGCGCGTATATTCACAAGGTCGTAACGCAGCGCACATCAAACATAAAAGACTCTATTAAGCACTGTTGGATTGTGCTGCTTCCGCAGATTATCGAGCGCTAAGAAGCAACCGGAGAATCTTCTTGAAAAAAGATAGAAGAGCTGGTGAATTCTGGAAAATCGTGTTGTCTCAAGTT